CACTCCTCTTTCAAGCTAGCCTTCTAACTGCTTTTTATTCTTGGCTCCAACTCTTGCAATGACGAGGCGAATGCTTTTTCTGTTCCACTTCCCTGCAAATTCAAGGCCCAGCATGTTCTCACTTATAACTGCCTCACTCGATCTCGCGCACAGCGTGAGAGCTGAAGGTAAGCCCCCCGAATTCTCCCTGTTGCCAGTGGACAAATAAAAAGTGACTTTTCAAACAGCAACTCACAAATGCATGAACTGTTTGATCTGCAGACAGACTGCCAGAATTTCTCTTTTCTAATTCCTATTTGTAGTGATAATATTTTTCTTTTTGTGATTTTTTTAAAGAGAATAGTCTAGTACCTTGAAACAATTGCAGTTCTAATTGTTGTCACTATTTCTATTTCGCGAGTTCCAATTCTTTCCAAATTATTGTATTCAGTTATGCACTGGTGTCAATAAAATTGACATTTGTGAAGCAATTTCTGGCTTTTTTTCTCCGGGTTTTACTGGGTCTGGTGGTGTGTGGGTTGACTGGGTCTTTTTCTAACACCAGGACTTCATCTCAATGATTGTATATTAAAATGCAGGCATTTAAATGGAGGGATTTTTAAATGCAAACTTCCTGATTCTGCCTTTTCCTCACATTTTCTAATCTTGTTCTTCAAAGAGCATTGGATGCCCAGTAGTCAGTGGGCAGGATGCACGCTCCCCGTTGTTTCTCTGGGTGTGGTGGCTTTTCACCCATGTGCTGGTGACACAGCTAGCTAATCAACCCGGGACTGGGTGGGGGCTGGTGGTGGTTTCTCTGTGGTTCACTCATACTGGGATCAAGTTCAATACCCTATTTCATTCCACGCTGTCCTATGTTATAACTTAAAAACGGGTATCACAATCTGGAGGGAGAAGATAGACATCAAAACAAAAAAAATGGGGTTACACCGGAAAATGGCACTTAACTTTTTCCTCAGAGACCCTTGATAGTGTGAGGAGTAGCAAGGAGCTGAAACTGTGTAATGAAAAATAGAGAAATAATTTACATCGTCTTTCCTTTTAATAGTAATGGACAGGACTGCAGGCTGCTTTAACTTTGTTGACACTCACACTAGTTCTAGCAAATCCACATTAAGTAAGAACACTTGGGTTCGAGGTATGTTTAAAACATCCTGTTTAGCTTCCAAGGTTTGAGGGATCGATCATTGCAAAATTCTGTTGGCAAAGAGTTTCATGCACACGTCATCTGTTTTGGCTGACTCACAATGGGTAATGACACACTTCTATATTATTTAATATGCTATCCTTTTCAGAGGAATAATTATCTTTCACTTTTTGACTCATAAAAGGGTCTTGGGATAACGTAATGACCTCCAGCTTTGCATTTGTAAATGACCACCTTTGCATGTAAATGTGATGCTAGTGTTTCTGTCCCAAACAGTGAGAGAGACATGGAGTGACATCACCAGGTATAACGAGCTTGCTTCTGTTCTTTGTTGACCGGGGAGGTAGCTGCTTTACCTTTCTTTAGCTGTGGCCCGTTGTTAGGAGATGTCGACTGTCCTCGGTGCTCCAGTTGTGTAGTTTTCTATTAGTATAGCTCTATTTTCTAGTCATTTCCCACGTCTCCTTGTAATGTAGACCCTGTGTTTTTCTTGAGTAATTCTTAGAAGCTGAGGCAGTAGTTTGGACATGAAGATTCTATGTGGGGATACACTATGCTTTTAAACTATTGTAATTACTCTCTAAGCAGAGTTCTCTACCTTATGATTAATTACATAACTGAAGCTCCATTGAATTACTCATCCTATGCTATCTTTATTATTACGGCAGCTGCAACTTAGAGGGAAAAAAACTAGAAAATAATGAAGCGCATTAAGTTTGCCATAAGTAGTCAAGATTCTAAAGACTTGAAAAGGTGAAGCTTGTAAGTAGAAATCAGGTCCCAGAGGAATTACCTTTTTTTTTCTCTTTTCTTTTTAATACTTCTCATCCCCAAACAGGCTCCCTGACTGGTAGCCCTCACCTTTCAGAGCTGTCCATCAACTCGCAGGGAGGAGCTGTGCCCGCCAACGTGATCCTGTCCCCCAACCTGAGCCCCGACACCAAGCAGGCCTCTCCCTTGGTCAGCCCGCTGCTGAACGACCAGCCGTGCCCACGGACGGACGACGAGGAGGAGGGCCGGAGGAAGGTGTGGGGACAGCGTGTTATTTTTTTATTGTAATAATATACATAGAGTAAAATTTGCCATTTAGCCATTTTTAAGGGTGCAGTTCAGTGACACTGAGTACACTTACATTGTATAACCATCGTCACTGTTTCCAGAACTGTGTCACTGTAACTCCACACTGTCACTCTGCACCCATTAAACAGTAATTCCCCATCCCTCCTTCAGCCCCTGGCCACCACGGTTCTATGAATTTGACTACTTAGGAACCTCGTATAAGTGGGATCCTAAAACACTTGTCCCTTTGTGATTGCTCTGTTTCACTCAGCAGAATATCCTCAAGGTTCATCCATGTTGAAGCTTGTGTCGCATTTTCTTCATGTTGAAGGTTGAATAATATTCTGGTGCATGGGTGTGCCGCATTTTGTTCGTCCATTCATGTGTGGATGGGTAGTTGGGTGGTTCCCTCCTTTTGGCTACTGCACATAGTGCTGCTGGGAACGTGGGTGTGCAAGTGTCTGTTCGAGCCTCTGCTTCAGTGTTTTCTTGCATATCCCGAGAAGTGGAATCGGGCGGACTCCTGTGGAAGCAAGCAGGACGGCCAGCACCACAGGATTTCCTCTCACTGACTAAAGAGAAAGAGGCCCTGGCTGGGTAGCGCAGTTGGTCAGAGCCCCGTCCAGTACAGCAAGGTTGCGGGTTCGATGCGCAGTCAGAGCACATACAGGCATCAACCAGTGAATGCATAAATAAGTGGAACAACAAATCGATGTTTCTCCCTCTCCTTCCCCCCTCCTCCACCCCTCTAAAATCAATTAAAAAAATTAAATAGAAAGCAAAACCAATGACCAATCTGCTCTAGTGGTGCCGCCTGCCCACCTAGCTGATGGACTCCAGAGCACTGAGTCACTCTGGCGTCACCAGCTGCCTTTAACCTGGTCCCTTTATATCAGCCACTGTTTGTAGTCCCGAGAACAATGTGGCCTCTTTATTTCCTGAACACCAACCCCACCGGCCACGGCACCCAAGACAAAGGCCACTGTGGTTTCTGTTTCATTTATTTCCTTGCAGAGTGCATCACTCTGCTATTTTACTAAGTAATTAGATTTTCAGATGCCCAATTTTGAATGAAGATCCTCGGTGGTGGCTAACATACTCATTTGAGGCACTTCACAGAGGGTAATATTTGCATGGAAGGAAATATTCCTAGACTGTTTTCTCATCATGGAAATCCATTCTCTTACTATCCATAGTTCCTCTCACACACAAAAAGAGTAAATAAGAGTTCATTTAGACTTGATGCCAGCTAACAAAAGATGGTAAGCTAGCAATGTTCCACTTTCTCATAATCAAGATATTCTTAGACTGATACTTAAAAATTATTATGTCTCGTTTCTTTTCATGGACTTTGCAGAGATTCCCAACTGACAAAGCCTACTTCATAGCTAAGGAAGTGTCCACCACTGAGAGAACGTATCTGAAGGATCTTGAAGTCATCACTTCGGTATGTGTAGCATTTCCCTGAAAGCATCAAATTACATCATTTATCTCAACTAATACTCAGCTTTATGAGAGAAGCTGGATCTAATTAAATGTTGGATTCTCTGACTTTAATGAAAAGGAGTTTGGTCCCGGGTTATAGAAATAAAGACAGTAATAGTATATTTAATTTGGAGTGTGCTCTATAAAAATTTTTATAATTGTGATTTTTTAAGTGCAGAGGCAGGATGCTTCTAAAGTGGAGAAAATTAAAAATAAACATTTTACTGTCTGCGTGCACTGATGCAGAACATCTCCTGCTTTGCCCGTTGTCAAATGTAGCTACTTATTTTTTGCTGGAAAAAGACCTCGGAGGGAATTGAAGCCTCGTTTATCTTTCATAATAAATTGAGCCATATTGGCAAAATCGGCCAGAAGTCTGTCTTTTATTGTTTTAATCAGTTCTGTTCAGCCTTGGAAACAAATTTAAAGCACTGCAAATGTCTTTTTGACCCCTGGATGGGAGGAAAGAACTGGCCCTGTGGAGGTCAGCAGAGTCATTGACTGTGTGCGCCTCCAGGGGGTCCTGGATGGTGCCTGGTCTTGGGCAGGTGCTCAGGAAACATCTTGGGACCCAGCCCCGCCTCACCTCAGCAGGGTGACTGGCTTTGTGTGAAGGCAGCAGCTTTCTCTCTCTGGTTCAGCCACCTTCGTGCTCAGCACTATAACAAAGGAGCAGAGATGAAGTTCCTAAAAGACTGAACCAGAGGGTGTTTGGTGCTAGAAATCAGTGATTGCCCAGCGAGTTGGCCAGAATGGAGGTTTGGATTTGAGGAGCTGCCCATTTCAGAGACCCATCCTGGCTTCAGATCTTTGGTAATCAATCGCAGGAAGCAATAATAAAGAGATGGGTGTTTCTCACCCCATCTGATGAAAAGGGGGACAAGCAGTGAGGCCTGGAAGCCCCTGGTGCTGCCAAAATGCTGCAAACCCAGTAGTAAAGCCCTCTGTCCTCCAGGAGCAGGTGGCTGCATTACTTTTGGAGAATTGCAGACACTCATCATTCATTTTTATGCTTCTAACTAAGTGTGTTCTCTTCCCAGTGGTTTCAGAGCACAGTGAGCAAGGAGGACACCATGCCCGAAACATTGAAAAGTCTCATATTCCCGAACTTTGAACCTTTGCACAAATTTCATACAAATTTTCTCAAGGAGATTGAGCAACGACTAGCCCTGTGGTGAGTAAACAGTTACAGTTGACCTTCACTCCACTCCTCTTTCTCTTTCCAGTGTTACCTTTACGTGTTGTCCCTTACAAGCAGCAGCCATGAGGAAAGCTAAGAGCAGGACACTGGCTTAAGACAAGCCAACCTTAAACCGATGTTCAGGTAGATTCTACCTGTATTTAGATCTCATCCTGAATTTTTTCCCTGTGGTGTATAATTCTTCAAAATGCATATTTTCATATGATAATCAGATGAATGTCACAAAATAAAGGTGGTAGTTATTTCTGGTAGGACAAGGTGGGTTATCAAGTCCCTCTGTGTGTGAAGGACTTTTAGGGGTATTGCCAATATTTCACTGCTGCTTGCTGTATAGTCATTTGTTAAGTATCTATATCTCCTGATGCAGTTTTCAGTATTGTATGTCACAGTGTTTAAGAAGCGTTTTGAAAAATACAGAGCCCTATGTACCACACACACTTTTACCTTGAATTCCACTTCCGGGAGTTTATCTTAAGGGTATATTTTAATATGTGACATCCCATATATGACAAAGATATTTATGGCAGGATTAAAAGATTAGAAAAGACCTGAATGACCATGAATAGCAGATTGGTTAAAAATAATGTTACTTTGATTTACTAAACAAAGTAAACATCAATCTGGGGGAAGAGTATGGTACAGAAAATTAGGAAAGACTATGAGCTGTAGAATGTAAAATCTGATTGATCCTTACCTAAAATAGAACCTTTTTGAGAAAAAAATCTTACGGGGTTTGTTAAGACAGTTATATGTAGACACAGGGGGGAATTGACTGTCTACTAAGCACGCATTTTAAAAATGCCAGGAGAAAAATAGCAAAAGCTTCTGCCGTGTTTTTGGCAGAAATGGAACCCATTATTTATTGTATCCTCACTGCAGGTGAGAATGTAGTTGAAAGTGGTTTCTGGGGCATTAGGGTAGCACCTCAAGGAGCTGGGATGAGGCTTGTCTTGTCCTAGGTGATCCCAGGTCATGGGATTCAAGCAGCAGCTTCCAGCTTGCAGAGCTGCTCCCTGTGCTGTGGAGCAGAGGTGCTCAGGCATCCAGCTGTATGCTCTTTGTTCCTGGAGGTAGTTCCTGTGCATTTCTCTTTCCTGTGATGGGAAGGTGGGAGGCTTGCCTAAGCTGCCCAGGGCAGAGCACAGCCGGGTTGAGAAATAACAGGGACAGCGTCAGCCTCACTGAGCGTGGGGAGAGACTGAAAATGCCGCTGCAGAGTCTCACTCTAGGTTGGTGCTGTGAATATAAGAGAAATACCACTTTTCAAAATTTCAAAAAATTTTGCAAAATGCAACTTTATTTTACCTTCCCAAGTTTTTATATCTGGAAACTCCCACCTGTGTCCTGCCATGTGGCCTCATCATTCATTCCTACTGCATTGAACGATGCTTTCATAATGGAGTCAAAGGCTTCACGTCTTGGGAGAAATGAATCAACAGTTTTTTTTCTGGCCAGAGAGACATATATTAATACAGTCTTCATCTCCCCATAGGCTCAGAGCATCTTTTTTTTTTTTTTAGAAATTATTTATTTCAGATGTAATTTTCACTTTAAATGCAAAATGGCTGATAAGAAGAAAAAGCATTGAAAAACATCGGACAGACCTTTTGCCCCACATACACACATCAGCCTTTGATATTTGCTTTTAGGTCAAACATTAAAAACAGACTTTTATTATTTCTCTCCAAAAGAAACAGAGTTGAGGTATTCTGTTTAACAGATGCATGATCTCCATCCAAAAACGGTTTCTCTGTTAATTCACAACCTTTCTACGTGCTGCTCCAATCCCTTCCTTCTAAAGCAGGTCTTTGTTTGAGCATATATCGATAAAACTGACAGTGTTCCTTAATAATCATTAAGGTTGCAAAATAATGTTGAACGTTAACTGTAATTTTAAAAACTAAAGTAAAAATTAGCGAATAAAAAGATCATTAAGATTGCCATAGAAACGCACTGGTGCTAACACCAGACCACACAGAGGATATGATGCTGGAAGGACCTTTAAAAGACGCTCAGGAGCATCTGGTGCAGAACCTGAGCCAGCTGGCCTTCTAGCCACAGCCCCGCAGCCCACATGGGAAAGCTGGTTCTGTTTTCATGCTCTGAAGGTCAATAGTTGACTCTGCTTCTCCAAATTACTGTAAATTTCTCACCAACTCCACCTGGAGCTGGACTTCTCCCCATCTGGGTCAACCTTAGAGGATATGATATAGCCCAGCACCAAAGCAGCAGGGCAAGACATTCCTGAACATTCTGCAGGAAACCTACAAACCATGATCACTCCCAGCCTGCTCCACTGGGTTCTGTTCACCACCAGGTGGACTCTCGACCCCAGCAGCAGATTCCACACCTTGTAATGGTGTTTCCTTCCCTACCCCACCTCCTCCTGCCCCTAGGGGGGCAGGGAAATGGAGACAATGTGAGCTCAGAGCCTGGCATGCAAACCACAGGGGCTCGGGCTCCATCAGAGCAAAGGCTCTCAGAGTTACCAACACTTCAGAGTAGACACAGCCAGTGATGCTACCTCCTTGACATTTGAAAAAAATACTTCATTAATGCTACAAGAATTAATGACCACTTTCATTTAGACCTTGAATCAACATATTTAAAATTTTTCCAACCCAGGAGGGATATGTTGTCATGTTTAATATAAATTGTCACCATCCCAACATTTCACATCTGGCTGTGTGGCAGATCGCTGTAGGCATTAGGTGAATGACATCATTATTGAGGATTAAAAGCAGTGCATGAGCTGCAGAAACACAGGTACGAATGACCGGTGGGTTGAAACACGTGGTCACTGACCATAGATTCGAGGACAGAGAAAGCTCAGGGTGTATACCTGTGTACACTGTAGACTCAGCATCCTGAGCTGGTGTCACTATAGCGGGTTTAGTCCACATGGCAGTTGATTTAAGTAATGTTGGGAAGTCACACAGGAAATGTCATCAATCAGCAATACCTGGCAGCCCAGCATGGTGGCTTTAGCTAGTTCTTGCCACCAGAGAGAACTTTGGAGAGTTGTATTTTATTCTAGGAATAAGTGCCATACCCTGGGACCTATCCGTGACCATCAACCTTAGCATCTGGACCTTTGTCTATGAAAGAATAGCCAATTGCTTAAAAACAGCTGCTGTCCTTTCTTTCTCAGAGGGTTTTCAGTAGAGTGTCTTTCAAAGATCTATACTTTCATTCACTTTTTACATGAAAACACCAGAAAGCATATGAAAGACTCAAAGCCAGAGGGATAGCAGACAGTACACATGTGGCTCAATAGACATGACCTTCAGTAGCCTTGCAACAGTGGACCCAAACCAAATTGATGACGTTTATCAGGAATAAATGTAAAGTCTGCCACTAAGTTCAGATGATCAATTCTTCGAGTGCGTGATGAGAAGGACCTGGCTTAACAGGGATTCAAGGCAAAAAGGCTGAATGTGCATGAGTTTAGTGTGAGCCCTAGAATAACATATAGATTAACCAGTATCTGTATCTGTGGCTGTCAACATTGGCTTCTCATTAAAATCACCTGGAAGCCTAAAAAACCTTGATATCCAGGCAGAACCCCAGACCAGCTATATCAGAAGCTCTGAGAGGTGAGACCTAAGCGTCAGCAGTGACCGAATCTTCTCAGGTGATTCCGTTGTGCAGCCAAGGTCCAGAACCTCTGCCCTAGATGGCAGCATTGGGAGACCAGCGTGAAAAAAATTGCCGCTTGAGACGTCAAGCCTCAGAGCTCCTTCAGAATACCCTACCCAGTTCTGGGTATCACGTTTGAAACGGTATAATAAGAGAATGCATTTTTATTTTATTTTTAAATAATTGTTGGGACTGTGGGCGTTTGGTCTAGAAGTGAGAAGTTTTTAGAAAATATGATGACTTCAGGTTGATCATATGAAAAAGGGAGTACAGGTCTTCCTTGTCCCAGATGACAAAACTGAAACAAAGGATTAAATTTCCAGAGAGGCACACTGTGTCTGAATATAGAAAAGGATTTCCTAACACTGAGTGCATCGTAGCAATGAGAAGCTGCTTTACGAGGTAATAAGTTTCTCCACCTTGGGATTTCTTGAGCAGAGGTTGACTATCTATTTCCAGAAGGTATTTATTGGGTGAAATCCCAAACCTAGCAGTGCGTCAGGGTCACCTGGGGTTGGAGGGAGGGGAATTTGGGAAAAACACAGACTTCCAGGCCCCACCTAGCCCTACTGAATCAGAACTTTGGGGTGAGATCCAGAAATGTGTTTTTTAAAGTGCTTCTAAGATAACTGTGATGAATACCTTTCCTGGAACAACCCCATGTGGCATGCCACCGACAGACCTGAGATTCTGTGATCCTTCGATTTGCACTTTGGTATTGAATGCATGAGTGGGTGGGTGGGTGAGTGAGAGTCAGGCTCTGCCCGCTGGTACTTGTGTTTGCAGAGGAGGGGGCAGGCTTGTAGGGGAGGGAGGACCAGGCCTCCTCGTAAATGTGTGTGCCGTGTCCACTGTGGGTGTCACTGGCCAGTTCTGCCTTGGAGGACATATGGGCCATCAATGCCTGCACAGAAGAGGCAGCCTGTGAGTGAATATGTTCAATGAGAAGAATGGGCCCAGGGAAGCTTACCAAGACAGGAGTTTGCACTGAGTTACTGACTGACATGTCACATATAAGAGTGTGTGCATGTGCATGTGTGTGTGTGTGTATATATATTCATACTACGACATGAGAAACCTGGGTTGGCTTGTGGAGGTTGGGATGGCTACAATCCCCACTCCCCGTCACACCAGCACCTGAGGTCTATGTCTCTCTGCCCATGGCCCCTGCAGAGTTGCTTTTCTTCATCTGTAAAATGTGCAGTCTCCACCTCATACAGCCCTTCCATGAACTAAATGAGACAGTGTTTGTAAAGGGCTCAGTCTTCTGCCCCACACACAGAATGGGGGGAAAGCTGATAATTTTTTTAAATAAACTCTTTATTTTGAAATAA